ATTGTATCTCTTTCATTAGTACCTCACAAGAAACAGGTACTGAATTGAAATACAGTAATACCTTGATTAATACAATATCATTTTACATAAGTTTGATATAATGTAGTTGGTCCTGAATACATTTCTTTTAAATTGTTTAAAAACAACTGATAATCAAACCCAGTGTCATATACCAATGAGCCAATCCACCATTATGCACAAGGCAAAAATCATATACAAACACCTAAAAGAATAGTAAGGCGAAGGAACTACCATGGAAACTTTTGCAGTGAGCCAAGTTTGGTTTTACATCTTTAAAAGGTGGTGAAATCTTCACAGCATACATTAGCAGCAAATTTACTAGTGCTGATGCCGAAGCAGCAGGAAAATTTCCTAAGTATATGAAGCAAGTTATTGAAAAAGTTTTTGGAAGTGCATGCCAACTTGCACTTTTATCTCCCATGAAGAGAAGCGAGAAGCATGCTTCAGGCTATAAGGCTGCCAAGGATTGCCTCATGCTTCCGTTGGGTGGGATTGCTTCAGGTGATTTGAAGTTGAAATCCTATTTGTTTATCACTCTGAAACACCTAAAGCTATAAAGGGTTTTTCTAAGGTGAATTTAACTATGATATGGAAGTCAAATAGGAAGGCCTGGGTGATGCAGGACATTTTCAGTAATTGGTTGATAAATAAGTTTTTGCCCCAGTGTTAAACCCTATTCAAAGGATAAAGAATTTGAACCAAAGCCATTTTTACTTCCTTACAATACTCCCAATAACACACAGAACCTTGCAAACCTCTGGACTCCATTACCTTTTAAAATTGTCTTTTTTCCACCCAACATCATCTCCCTGCTTCAGACATTGGACCAAGGCACTATTGCCATGTTCAAGGTATCGTATCTGAAGCACACGTTTATTCAGTTAGTCAAGGCAACTGATGGAGAAGATAAACATTCAATGAGGGAATTTTGGAAATCATATAACGTCATGGTGGCAATTGACAACATCAACGAGGCAAGGAAGGAAGTTACAGCCAACTGTATGAATGGTGTTTGTCAAAAGGTATGGCCTAAGGTTGTCAATGATTACAATAGTTTTGCTGAGTAGGCAATGCCAGTGATAACCAGAGGAAACACCAAGATGGCCAGCTAAGTAGGACTGTATGAAGTTGAAGAGGAAAATGTGTAGGAGCTACTTGACTATCAGAGGGAGGGTTTAATAAATGAAGAGTTGGACTTCTCTGGCTGAACAAGTCAGAGAAGAGGGCACCCAAGAAACTCAACCAGAGAAGATTCTCAAAACAAATTTTTTGCACTGACTATTGACAAATTCACAGAGTTGCTGGATGCCCTCTCTGAGAAAGATCCAGGTTTTGAACATAGCTGCAATATAAGGCAAGCTGTTCTTGGTTCCCTGTCCTGCTATAAAGAAATCCTTAATCAACAAGGATGCAAGGCATGCCAGACAACCCTTGTAGACTTATTCAAGAAGAAATCTGCCTCCACAGTTTTAAAGGATAATGAACAACAGCTACGTCTATTATTCAATCCCTCTCCATAGCCTCTGTCTCCCACTACTGGCAGACTGGAGGAGAAATGGCAGCTGATGGACTATACAATTATGCAAGTTCCACAAGAAGACACTAGTTAATTTTAAATATTATTTTATTACTTTTATGTACTTTATTTGTTTTTAATGCATTTAATATTGTTTAATTTATGTGTATTAACAGTAAAACTAATTATAATATGTTACATTAGGGATCAATTTGTGCTAGCTTGCACCACTCCTTATGCCTTACATAATAATTTAGTTTAATGCAGTTTTAAACAGCACCCTGACCTCCAGGAACACATCCTATCCTTTACACTAAACAAGGTATTGCTGTATAGTTCAATTATTGTTACGACAGCTATTTTTCTTGCTCAGCCAGACTGAAAAGTTTTTACACAGAAATGGTTTGTTGGCTCATAGATAAGTATAAAGCTACACGATGGGCTATCTGTGCTCTGCCAATTGCAAGTACCGAAACCCTATTTTTAGCATTGTAAGCTCTCAAACTTACTGCTGAGCCACTGAGGGAGGGAGGGCTATAAGAATGGAAAAGTTAAAGTTAATGAGTCAGGGGCTAAGAAATTTAAGTAATAGAATATAAACTACACACAAATGAATGAAGAAATTTGAGGATTTAGGCAATTACAGATGTTTGGGAGAAATGTTTTGTTCATTATAACCTGTCTTAGTCTTATTTTTAAGCACTATACTTGCATATGTGTTTAACTTAATTAATGAAATTTCAGAAATGCACCACTTTAGAGTTGCCAATCTTTCAATAGTAACAAAAGTACACTTCTTAATAATTTTTGTCTACAAGATCTTTGTTTGAACTTATAAAATGTATGTTTATAGTCTAATTGAGAGGTGTTAAAACATAATTACTGTCCAATGATACTGTAATATATTTATAACAGAAGTAAGTACATTACAGCAAGCTGAAACATTCACCTACCAATTCAATATTTAGTGTTCAGGTTCTTTCTATTAAAAAACTAATACTGAAATGGAATACATTAACTTATTATAATTAGGAGCCACAACTCCTTCTTACTTGACATGCATACTTTCTCACCCCCCTAAGAATTTCATAAAAAGTATTTATTTGTTCTATCAAAGACCAGGGAAGTCTTATATAAAATCACAGGAGCAGATTATTAGAGCATCAATAATAAAATTATAACATTTTATACAATTACATAAAATGTTTTATTTATATAACAACTGATCTCTCAACCTTAAACCCTTCAAAAATGATAGATCTGCACTACACCTAATTACAAGAAACACACACACAATGAATGTATACAAATATCTTTCATATCACAGATAATATCCACACACTGTCAGGTTAACATGACTTAACCCAAGATTTAACCTGATTAAAAAAATGAAAAAAACAAACAGATATTAAAATTTTTTTACTGGATAATTTCTTTCTTTATTGCAAAAATGTAAAATGTGTGTGTGTGTGGACACACACAAAATGCTAAAAATCATGTATGGTTTAAAAGATAAATCACAAAGAACTAAACATATATATGGGTTTCCTGCTTTGTGATTTATCTTGTGTATATATATGCTCTTCAATAGTTAAATCTTCTGTTACAATTACCACTCACACTTTTGCTGAAAGTTAAACAAATTTTCTTCTAAATTCATGATCTTAATTTGCATTGGTTTCTTTTTTATTAAATTCTAAAACCTTCAATATTATCTACTATTTAAGCTTTCACAATAAGAATTTAGTTTCCTTTACCAATTTTCTTTCATTGTTCATGTATCAAAGGTACAGGTACAAAGTGTGAAATGTATTGTTCATTTAAGGCATCATGGAATATGAGATTATCTTTTGTCGTTTAGGGTCACTAAAAATTAAGCATATGTTAATTAAGGTGCTTGATATATTACCAAGTACCTTAATTAAAACATGCTTAATGTCATTTCTTAAGTCATTCATTCACTTCACTATACTTGCACCTGTGCCTCTGAACACATTTCATAAAGCTCCAAGAATTATTTCTGGCTTAAAAAAAAAGAAGTGTGTAGTTCCATACATTTTACATAATTTCACCTCAAACATTCACTTTCCTCGCAAATATTACCTGCAGTCTCTGCAAAAGTTTTTTAAAAAATATTACTTTTACCCCTATAAAGATTATGCAGTCATAATGGATTCTTTACCCACTCTCACAAGGTTTCATATTTTAATTCCTCTCTTTCAAATCTGTCTAGAATGTGGTCTAATCCAGCAAGCTTGAGTACAGTTTCTAAAGCTTTCTCAGCAGTACCCGGAAAACTCTTTTCTTGTTGGTTCTGGAAATAAAAAGCTTTTGAATTTTACTGAAAAGAACATACAACAATGTTTGTAAGGATTAGCTGTTATTTTTTCTTCCTAGAGCACATTCATCACAAAATCATACATTTCTAATCCGATAAAAATACCTTGAAAACCCATTAAAAATTGTAAGAAAGATAACACATTTCAGCACACTTAAAATTATGGTAAGAAATTAAAATAGCTCAGTCCTTTTTAACATACACATGCCACTAAGTGTGTGACAAGTGGTATTTATGGGCCAATTTCACATTCTTTCATATGTTAGTGAGGTTACAGATGGTTTCTGTGGAATAATTATTTGATAATGAGGTTACAGGTGGTTTCTGTGGGACAATTAAACATACTTTTACTTGATAGTGAGGTTATAGGCAGTTTCTTTGGGACAATTTCAAATCAAATACTTTCATACATTAGTGACATTACAGTTGATTTCTGTGGGATAATTCCACATACTTCAACTGATTACAACATCCAGTGTTATATAACTAGTCAGTCATCCAGGTGTGCATGTGTGTAATATATCAAATGTGTTCTAGTATATACAGAATACTGCATTTTTAAACAACTCATTAATAAAAACTATCAGTTTTGTTCTCCATCTTTAAAAAAGACTAATTAATACTTTGAAATTATTTAGCTCCTTTGTCAAAAAAATCACCTGAAATTTTTCTATTATTTCCTTAGAAGGACTTTTGTTATTTTCAAATAACTTCTCAATAGAGCTTAACATTTCATCCTCAATTCCAAGGATGCTTCCCAACTGTTTCCATTGATTCTTCTTATCTAACTCAGCATACAGAACTTCCAATTTCTTCTCTTTGATTTCTCCTGACAATAGAGAAAAAACAAAGCTAATGTTTTCTACATGAATATTTTTTCTAGTCTTCAAGATACAAAATCATGAGTATTATAGTTAAAACCAGTTTCACATTTTTTGGTTTTCAAGGATAAAATTCACCTTTACAGTTTGAGGTTAATGTATTAAGACCAGGAAGAATATTAAGGCACAGAAGATAATTGTGAAATAACAAAAATAAGCAATCTTAAAGTCTTATGGCTCAAAACTACCTAACAATCTCATACATGATTATATATACAAGCATTACATTATATTTAGTATCAGATTACAGTTCAAAAGCTACTGAAACAGGGTTTAATCCTGCATCATGCAGTTTAATCAGCTAATGAAGACACACAGTTTGTTAAAAACTGAAATCATGTATTGATTTCAAAGCATAAACATATAATATGATAGAGTTTGGAAGTGAAAACTAAATGAAATCTGTCTATATTGCTCAAATATTTTAGTTGCTATGCAAAGAAAATGGTTACCTTCATAAATAAAAAGAATATAATTTATAAATATTTTCAAATATATTTTTGAATTGAGGTGAGCAACTGTACACTGAGAGTTACAAATCATCATCAAAATAGAAACAGGATAGTTCGAATATTGAAACACAAGATGTTCAGTCTTACTATACTTCCCAAATATTGGACACTAATTATTACACTTTCTCTGAAGACTGTGATTGTAATTTTAAGCTAATATTCAAATACGGATAGAAACTTTAATCCTATGACTACCAGCACCTTTTTAAAATATTTTCTGTGTATGGTACTGTGTTACATTCAAAATTTAATTAAACCACTTTACTATCAATATATGTCAATGAAAGTAACATTATAAGGTATGTTATAATTTGAACTTTTATGTTATTTACATTTTAAGTACTTTGTTTCAAAGGAAATATTTAAACTGCTGTTTTCATGTCATGTGATTCACGCGCTTTGAAAAATCTTGACTTTAGCAGCCACATGAGTTGGGATGTACAGGAGTTTCTACGCACTAACTATGTGTGTTTGACCTAATTGACGCACGAGATCTAAAATCCTACAACAGTATTCACTGGGAAAGAGAAATTCAATTTTTCAAACCTTGATGGTTGCCACACCCACCTTCTTACTTGACCTTGAGATCTAAAATGTGCATGTAGTTAGTTGACACAAGTGTATACAGTCATTATAAAGAGCTCACTTTACACTACCTATGGTTAATTTGATATTTGCATGCAGTTTTCCTTACTGTGTACATGCAACTGCCGTCAGTATTGTTGTCATATTAATTGACTATCGCATGTATGGTGGTTTATTACCTAAATATGCTATAGTTAGAGAGGCAGTTAAATAGTATTGAAGTCTTACTTTTATATTTTAGTGAATTATGTATTATGTGTGTTTTAAAAATCATATTTGAACAATTTAATGATTTTTATCAGTTCAACTTGTCGCCTGGATTTTGAAAGGTTATATACAAGATGGCATGTTTTGGCAATGTGTCTTTTCAACGAGTCTGCCGAAATACCTTTGAAAAGACTCATGGGGCATCAGTTGATGTATGAGCATAAAAGATAACAAACAAATAATTTGAAAGGAAAAAACTATTAAAGTGAAAAGATTAAGACATGAAGTTATGCATATAAGAAAAACATGACTATTCAAGTGGATTTCTATGAAGAATTGAAAGGTATGTACATATTTCAGTTTGTTAATTTAAACATTTCATTGCACTGTATGTTGATGATAACAGATAGTGTTAGTGGTATAGTAGAGAACATGGAAAATAAAATATAAATAAAATGTGAAAACTGCAAGATTAAAAAATAGTATATATAAAAATCACCTTGCAGGTGAACTATTCAAGGTGCAAGTGCAAATAACTACATTAAAGAACGAATTTTTTTTATTAGAAATAGTTGAAAAAATCAAAAGTAAATGTTTTATT